TTTTTAAATTTATCATTATGAAAAAAAGTGGTGCTGTATACTTGAATAAACTAGCTGTTGACTTTGCGGCTGTCCTTTGCTTAAAGTCTCTGCCTCTCCTGGAGCTGCAGACTGACTATGCGCTAGGGGAACATCTCACAACTCTGGGTCTTGAGCACCTTCCTCAATCCTAGGCTGGCATTCCAGGCATCGCCTTAGGCGGCAAGCATGTCAGCTCACGTTCCAGGGGCTCTGGGGCATATTTTAAAAATTAGTTTGCTGTTTGTAATTGATTTTCAGTGGAATCTGGCACTCTAGCTTGAACAGCCTGCTAAATCAAGAGGGAGTAATTGTCGCCTATCAACCAGAACATTCGTGGCTGCGTCAACTATTCAGAAAACTTTCGGAGGACCTGAAAGTGCAGGGAAATAGAACTCAAGATTTTTCAGGAGCGTTTGTTTCCTCCTCCCCCTTCGAGTTCCTGGGGGTCTACCAGATGCCGATCCGTCTTTGTTCAGTCAGTGTTCCTTGTCCTGGAAGGAGCAAGGCCCGTGCGGTGTCGAGCTTCATTCCGCCTCCCAGTGTTGCTTCTGTTTGCGAACCGAGCAGTTGACTTGGGCTGCTTGTCTGCAGATTCCTCCAGGGACTGATGGGGACTTGGCAGTGACAGGCGAGCCCTTCTTCTGGCTTAGAGTTCGGGTTCCTTTGCCAGGTCACATGAGGCTCCCCTTCTGTTCGGTGCCACCACAGGCTGCCTCTGCTGCTTTCTCTCAGTTAATCTCGCAGTTAACAGACAAGGTCCAACTGTTTGATACGTATCAGCTGAGAGTTAAACAAAAGCCAGACCTAAATCTCGAATAACAGGAAGCAGAAGGGTGCGTCCCGATCAGCCGGCGTCTCACCCAGGCCCGTGGGTCCTGCAGTTCCTGGGGCTGGTACACCTGGGGTCTTGCCGAGCCGTTTATGAGACATGGTATTGGGAAGCCTGTGATTGTTGATGAACACAGAAATGCAGCCACAGTTTTTTTTGAAACTTTTGAGGTAATCACCATCTCAGTGTGCTGGTTAGTTGGACCTTTAAGACGGGGTGTGTAGGCAGGAGATCTTGTGTAAAAGGCATTTGTAAACTGTGTGCTGGTAGGAAACAGACCTATTATCAGTACAAATAGACCCATTTTCAAAAAAAAAATCTCTGCCTCTTAGAATTTCTTGATAAAATGCCTTGAAAAGATTCCCTCCAACTCTACTTGTCTGTCATTATCGTGTCCTAGTGACTCAATACAGCCTTTTTACTTTAAGTATTTCCCATCAGCTCATCATTTCCATAGGCCAGTTGACCGATCACCAAGTCCGGACATCCTGTGTCGTGACAAATCTCCTTTCAGTGCTGGCAAACTAGGTGTATCTGACAGCGGGCCTGCATGTGGCCACGCACAGACCACTTTTCATCGAAGGGTCAGTGAACGTCCAATTAGCAGCAGGTAATTCTGATTTTAAACGAGAGTCACAGGTTAGGACTCTGAGGGAGATTGTGGTATTCCCTGATTTCAGGAATTTTGTGGAAATGACAGGCCTCAGTGTGGCTGATGTCTGCTGTGATGCCTCGCGCACACACTGAGCCGCAGCTGAGTTCTGTCCTTCGACACTGTCCGTTCTTCGGTTCACCATGTGAATGAAGTTAAGGTTTAGTCTCACTGTCATTGATCTGAACAAAGACATACCATTCTTCCTTTTAATTTTCCCAAGGCCCAGGGTGTTTGTTTTCTTCTCTCCTTTTCACTGTGACCCTCAGGAATGTATGAGATAAGGGGTCCTGGGGCGAATCGTGCACGAATCACTGATCTTCCTTCAGAGGAAACACCTGAAGCCTCCTAAATACACGCGGAGTTCTGTTCAAAGGCATACTGAGATTCAGATTCATTTTTTTCCCACCCCTTACAAGTTATATTACCAGAAAAATTTTTAATATCAAACACAAGCTGCCATTCAGGCTGGTGTCCCCCCGATTCTGAGGAGCCGCAAAACAATCCTGCCTTTCTGCCAAGAGTGATTTATCCTCTTTCCTGAGGGCCCAGGCCCTCACCACCAAGGCCCCCGTTTTTAGGTTTCAGTATACAATACAACAGTGCACAGTTTTAGCTGCCTGGAAGACCCCTACGTATTTACTGAGGCTTTGGCTAGGTCATACCGGGAGAAATAAACCCGTCCTTTAATAGAATTTGACCCATAGACACTCAGTTAACATTTCCAGTATTTTCACTGGTAACTCGGAGCATCAGTTTTTGTTGAGTACTGTGCTTGGATGCTTATTCTTTTACTTTTCAGTAAGATGACTGTATTGCTGTATTGATATTTAACATTGTTGCATTTATTGTTTGGGGGCATTTTTCTCTATTAAACTGATTGGGCTACACATTGGAAAAAAGGCATAAGTAAATATTTCTCAGGATTAAGGAGATGCCTTATAAAGGTTCAAGTCTGCCTAAGACTAACCATGTTAATTCTCTGATTCCCACCAACTTAAGTATTAGCTGTTGAAAAAATACTTTAAGATGGTTATATCATTTTCTAATAATTATTGGTTATTTTCAGAGTGGTACAATAACAAATTCCTTCCTGACTACTCTATTCATAGGTAGAGTGCTATAAAATAATCCATCCTTATCATTCGTATTTCTGGGTAGTTGGGTGAGGTGGGAACTATTTTTGATGTGCAGGCGCAAATACTGAAGCAGCAGGATTCCACACACTCTCTGTCAGCAAGGGTATCAACTGCCAGAAGCCCCTGATAAATCCCATTGCAGGCGAATAGAGTCTGGGTAATAGCGAACTACAAGACAACAGTCCGTGCGTGTGAACCGGCAGGGCTGCCCAACTGAATTACCATTCTCACCCAGAATAAACACCCTGACGTTAAACAAAACAAAGTCATCCATCTGCAAGGTATGTAGGAGGCTTAGTTAGTGAGAAAAGACAAGCCTTTTGATTGGTCAAAGCAATCTTAAAACTACAGCCATTTCTCCAAGCCAGAGGTAGAAAAGGTCAAAGGGAAGCTTTGAAGCCCGATAACATTGTGTTGCAGTTAGGGGACATTCGGTATTTGCTAAACAAATGGCAGAATGAACAAGTGTTTATGAGGTTTTTCTCTGCTCTGGAGCCACCCCAGGGGCAAATATAGAGCAGCTCTCCCACGCTGACTTGACCACCAATTTGCTGCCAGGAAAAGTAACTTAAACTCTGTGGGCCCGAGTTTCTCCATGTGTAAAATAAGGAGACTGGAAAAGATGCTTTTGCAATTTCTGTAAGCTTCTTAAGATCCCATGATTTTAAAGGGCCCAGAGAGTAGATAGAGGATCTTGTTCCGAATGATCATTTCTTGAGGAAAAACTATAGTAAAAACTTATTGACAGCTTATGAGCCCATGCCTTAGCTTGGTTTTCATGGACAAAGTGTCAAAAGTTGTTCAGGTACAATAAAAATGAAGGAAGGAGGAAATCTTTCATTACAAGAGTCAAGTGAGAACCAGGGTCCCAGACACAGAAGGGATTTTGTTAGTCAGAAATTCATTGCATCAGTGCAGCAACCACTAAATTGTTAGTAGGTCCCTAGTTTTACATGTGTTAGTCCTGTCTCCTCAACTTGTAGGTTGAGTCATGAAATTGCATTTTTATGGGTTAAAAATATTCAAGTATCATCAACTTCAACCTATAGCTGTGACCCTCCTGGGAGCCGGGTGCAATGCTGCACTTCCCCCCGGTTTCCTTTAGCTCCTGACAGGATGCTGGGCACATTTGTTCTTTGACAATATGACCTGAAGGCAGTGCTGTGGGGGCAGAAGGCCTTTTTGAAATCACTTAGTGCAATATATTACTTCGAACATGAAAGTAAGACCCAGAAAGTTCCCAGAATTTTAGTTCTTTTGATGTCAGAATGACACCAAGACATTATAAACCAAAAGTCTTGAATATACTCTGAATATTCTATTGACTAGTGAAAGTGAAAGGAACTGGTCTGATAAATTTTATAGGAATAGTAGTTCTGAGCAATTAAAGTTAGAAAAGGGAAGTAAGAGCTGCTCTCAGATTTCTAGAGCCCTGGCGGCACGCTTCTCTTGCTACTGTTAACAGATGTGTTGACATGTTTGGAAAAAAATATTTTTAAATGGTTAATGCTAATAAGAAAAACTTAATCCAAAGGACCAAAGTAACAATAATACCAGAATATAAACATGATCTGAATTTGAAACATGATCCCCAAATACATTATTTGCTGTATTTGATAAGCTTCAATTCTCTCTTAGGAAGCAACTTCCGCTTGTAGATTTAGTTACTGTTCATAGAAGGGTGTCAAGCCTAGGCAAAATTAGAAATAGACTAAGTGCAAAGATATTTCTAGGTCATGCTTTGGACCTAGGTCTTACACACTGCGAAACTGCATTTTTGTGACATCTCTGCCATTTTAATTATAGAATCTTAACACTTCAGAGCACCTGGTTTAAATTTGTCCATGATAGTTTATACTGAAATCTATAAAGCTGTCAAATAATATAACATCTTGTCCTTACAAATGAGGAAACTGAGACCCAGAGAATTTAAGTGACATTAAGTTACCTGGAGTGAAGACACGGGACAAGTTGGGACTTCAATGCCTAGTATACAGCCAGCTATGCCTAAGGTGCCACTTGTTCTTTCAGTTGCAAAACGTTTGCCTCCTATCTGCCCTCTCTAAAATGGAGTGAAGATTAAGTTGGTAATACTACAATGTTGGCACCTGGAGCAAAATAGACAGTAGACTTTCATTGACATGATGACATGTTATTTAAATATATTTAGAAGTTGTGTTCAGACTTGATGATCATTAGGCCACTGAGGGTATATGGACCCCAGGACAAGTCTTTCACACTTTTACAAATTTGCCCATTTTCCAAATACTTGAAAGGACCATCAAGGAAAACTTTAAAACAAAGGCCTACTGGATACACAGCCTAAGTCCTATGGTTATTTGTTTGTTTTTGCTGATAGCAACATGAGTTCAGCTGGTCCTGATGGGAGGAAAGTGATGAGAAGATGTGACGGGCTGATCGACTCACTGGTCCATTATGTAAGAGGAACCATTGCAGATTACCAGCCAGACGACAAGGTGATTCGAGAGTTAACTATCTCACATATTGCATTTCTTATTTTGCCTTACTAAAGGCTCTTCAGAGTACTCTTGAAGTAGCTTTTGGGGTTTTGATTCACTCATTAATCTATTTGTCAAGTTTAAGATTTCCCATGGCTACTTAGAAATAATAAAGTCTATCTACCCTTTTTTTCTGTCTTCTTTCCAGCCCCCGATTTCCCACTGCCCATTTAACAGTTTTATGTGGATATTTGAAAAGAGGCCAAATGCTGCTGTTCAGCAATGAACCCAAATTAATCTCTCCCCTTGTCCCCAGACTTGCTTCTTCTCTGTATAATCCTCTTAATAACTCTCATATCCAGGAACGAAAATGGAAATGGGAGTCATCTCGGGGGTCATTCCACCTTCCTCCCTTACACCCCACATCCGCTGGGCAACGGTCGTGCCTCCTTCCTCTGAAACCCCTTTGCTTTATCCACTCCTCTCTAATGCCATGACTGCTGTTCTGGTTTATGCATCTTTCATACTGATTATTCCAATAGCCTCCTAATCGGTCCCTGCAAACAGTATCTCCTGTTTTCCAAGTCCATGTGGCCACTAAGTCACACATCTAAAATACAGAATCATTCTGAACACACTCTTTAAGATACTTCTAGAAAGGCTCTCTGATGTTTTAAGAAATTCAGCCTCTAGTTCTCAGCATTGTGCTCATAACCATTCCTGACCCAGCCTCAGCCTGTCCGCTCCCCCAGACACCCCAGAGCCTGAGCACACCCTCCTTCACCCAGTGAACCTCGTGAGACCAAGTGCCCGGTAAGTCCTGCGGTACTGCACCTGCGAAGTGGTATCTATAGGTAGGTGACTGATGTTCACGTCCGGTTTCCTCAGGCCACAGAGAACTGTGTGTGCGTTCTCCATAACCTCTCCTACCAGCTGGAGGCAGAGCTCCCAGAGAGATACTCCCAGAGCATCTATATTCAAAACCGGAATATCCAGACCGACAACCACAAAAATATTGGGTGTTTTGGCAGTCGAAGCAGGAAAGTAAAAGAGGTATGTTGGGAGGACTTTGGAAGAATATGTGTGTGTATTTCTGAGCACTTGGTATATGTTAGGCACTATTTTAAATTCTTTTAATTCTTACATCAACCCTAGGAGGTATGTATTATTAATAACCTCATTTACTGATGAGGAAACAGAAGTTCAGAAAGGTTAAATTAGTTTTCCCAGAATAATTCAGCACATTAGTGGAAGGGATGGAATTCATCCCAGGCAATCTGGCTGCAACTTTGCAACATCAGGCATTAGCCTTACTACTCTCTATGCTTCATAGGTTAGGAAATCAGCTAGTATGACATAGCCAGTGGTTAAAGAGACTGTGTTAACATTAAACGCAGCCCTGATATTTGGCTTTGGACATTTTAAAGACAAATTTGGACACCCCAAATGCAAACCCGTAAGAAGGGATAAACATCCCTACTGGCATTTCATGAAAACTGAAAGAATGTGACCTCTCCCACTCCTGCAAGCACCATGGTGCGTATCTGCGAATTTAGACAAGAGCTGGTAAATTTAGAAGCCCAGTGCTGTCCCAGACAGCTCCACGAGGCTCTGAGGGAAGAGGCCTGTTTTTCTTATCTTCAGAGTGTTTGTGACTGATTTAGTTTTTAGCTTACCAGCAGCCTAAACACTATTTTGGAACAGCCTATGCTTAATTCTCTGAGTTCTCTCTCACTGTGTAATGTAAACGTTGGGAATTAGGAAGTGTCGTTAGGGCCAAAGAGTCATCATGGACTGAAAGTTAAGTAACTGAAATTCATATATATTTGCCCTTTCATTTCCATTTCAAGTTGCTTTAATTATGCAGATAATTTGTCTCTCTAGTCAGCATTTCTGGTCTCTTGGTTGGGGTGAGGAACTGTAGAAATCACTCGGAGGGGTTAATTCTGGGTTTTGTCGTGTGTTTGCGTGGTCAGCAATACCAGGACATGCCGATGCCCGAGGAGAAGAGCAACCCCAAGGGCGTGGAGTGGCTGTGGCACTCCATCGTGATACGGATGTATTTGTCCTTGATCGCTAAGAGTGTCCGAAACTACACTCAGGAAGCATCTCTGGGGGCTCTCCAGAATCTCACAGCGGGAAGCGGGCCAGTGAGTATTGTGCCTGCCTTTCTACTTCTTAAAATGATGACGCTGTAGACATACCTGCATGAGGCTTGAAGAGACAGTGAGGTAGGAGCAGAAGTCTTCTCGCTTGAGTCAAGACGGTTCTCAGGAATCGCCAGGAGGGGTGCCCCTTTCCAGGCCTTTCAGACTCCGCCTCTGCAGAGCCACGTCACACTGCACATGAAGGACTCATAGGCATTTGTATTAGTCGGAGCTCTTTCAGTTACAGGTCTCAGGATCCCCCCTAGATTGACGTAGGCAGAGAAGAGGAATTTCTTGGCTCATATAACTTTAAAGTCCAGGGTGAGTCTTCCCCCTGTCATGGTGAAATGTAGGTGCCCCACAGTTGTAAGATGACTCTCTCGGGGCTGTGTTTTCCTCTGCTAGTTTCATTCTCAAAGGCTCTTCTCAGTCTCATATTGTAGCAAAGACGGCCACCCGTGACTTTAGGCTTACATTTTACCCAGCCCAATCCCCTCGCAAGAAAACTACTGTTTTCCTAGTAGGTCCATTAAGAACTCAGGGAATGCGTCTCACTCGCCCATTTCTGAACCAGTACCCACCCATGGCTGAGAGCCTGTGCTATTCTGACTGGCCACATCTGGGTGATGTGCCCATATGTGAATTTCAGGGGCATGGCTGTGAGTGGGCGAGGGTCACGGCCTCTTGTACCACGTGGACTGAAATGGTAAAGGAGGGTCCCCCTAACACAGAATCAGAGTGTTATTATTACCAAAAGGAAGAACGAATGCTGGCCTGGCAAAAGCAGCAGGCGTCCACTGCAGTGCGGAGGTGGAAGGGACATCCGAGCTTTTGTGTCCCAGAAATTCAGCTACAAAGTAAAGAGCTTCTTCTCTTTCCAGATGTACTTACTTTATGCCAGCAAAGTCAAAATATATAAAACAGTAAAAGCATATTTCCTTCCCCATTTATTTTATACCTTGATATATAGTTAGGCTTCTATAAATATTTAATTGCTTGAACTATGCTTATATACTTTGCCTTGATCATACAGTGATTAGAATAAAATCCGCCAAAATACTTCATTGTAGGGCCAGTCTCCAGTTACCTCATCTTCATAGAGAAAAGCACTCCTGTAGATAACAAAAATGTTATTCTTTACTTGAGAAATCTTATTCATTCTTTGTGTTTACACAGAAGCTTGCTCTGTTTGAATAAAAGAGTGAAATACTAAAACTATATTTCTCATATCTCTTAGCACTCTGGTTAAAAATATGACCAAATTCTCTACAAAATGCACTTGCACATAAAGGCCACCCCGTTCACCGAGGCTCGGTTTCCCAACACTCTCTCTCTTTCCTAAACTATAGAAGCCTTCTTCTTAAGTATCAGCCAACTTAAAAGAAAATGTCAGAAATTAAATGGTCTGTGTGTGTGTGTGTGTGTGTGTGTGTGTGTGTGTGTGTGTGTCGGGGGTGTTTAAGCTCACTGTGCTCTGAGTATGGTGTGTGTGTGTGTGTGTGTGTGTGTGTGTGTGTGTGTGTGTGTGTGTGTGTGTGTCGGGGGTGTTTAAGCTCACTGTGCCCTGAGTATGGTGCAGTAGAAACTGACCCTTTCAGTTTGGATTATAGCCTTTTCCATTCCAATCTCTCTCATGGAATCAACAGTCCAGAGATGTTTCTATTTTCCTGAGGATACAGGAATGTTTGTGCCTCTTAACCTCTGAATATGCAGGATCTATAACTAGATCCTAAGTTCCTTCATTCATTTATTAAACAAACATTTTTGAGAGCCTGCTACGTAACAGGCACTAGCCTAGTACTAAGTACAAAAATGATGAGTAAGACATAATGCCTTTCTGTACTAATAGTCCAGCTGGGAAACAAACAAACAAACATAAATCTAAGGTACTAGGAGATCCCCTAAGTACTAGGGATTCAAGCAATGGAGTCCAAATTGTACCAAAGCATTTGAAATCATACCTAACCCTCAGACCAGTCCAGTCCCCTGAAAGGAAGCTTATGCTAAACTGATATTAATCCATACTCAAGATTGTTAAGAGTTGAACTTGACTGGACATTTATAGGAGAATATCATTAGATTCATGGGACAATGATATGAGGACCCTTTCTTCTTTCAAGCTATGAGATGCCTTTTATTCAAATTTTGACTTTCAGGTCTACCCCAATTATTACTTTTCCTACTTTTGTTATGCTTAGATGGTGCGATAAAAAATACTTGGTTTTGAAATTTCTAAAAGAAATCACTGAATAGAAAAACATGAAACCAGACCATTAAGTATAGTTCAAGAAAATATCCAATCCACTAACTTTGTGTTCATAATTGAAATAGCACTGAGCCATAGAAGGCCATGTGCCTTACATGGCAAAGAACCGGAACTGAGATGAACAGCTCTCTAAAAGATTATATACTTTACATATAAAATTCTGACAGTAATTTCTAGGCAGTACAACTATGTTAATATAAACTTTTTTCAGATATAATGGTCATTCTAAGTACAAGAAGAAAAATAATTGTAACAATGTGTGATGATAGATGTTAGCTGAACTTATTGTGGTAATCATTCCACAATACATATATATATCAAACTACTTGTAGTATACCTGGAACTAATACAAAGTTATATGCCAGTTATACCTCAATAAACAAATAGATTAATCACATAAGGTTAAAAGTAACTGAAATAAAGTTTCCAAGTTCCTAAAACTATTGAAAGTCCCTTAATTTGATATTTGTTGGGGGGGGGAAAAAAACACATCCCTTACTTCAAACCTTACCCAAAACTCTGTTCCAACAGCAATGAGATTTAAAGTGAAAGATCAAACAATAAAGACTCTAAGTGATAACAGAGCATAGAATTACAGAGCATCTAACTAGCTATACATTCCTTTCTTTAAAAGCCCAATATCTCTTTGAGAATCAACTGGCTTCTTAGAAACAAACACATTTATTAAAACATGTAAGACACCACAACTTAAAACAAGAAACAGAAAAGATGAATAAGCCAGCGACCAGCAGACACACTGAAATAATAACACCTCTTTAAAATTTTTCTCAGTTCAGCTGGCATTACAGCTAAATTCTACCAGACCCACAAAGCTGAGATTATTCTTGTATCATACAAAGAGTTTAAGAGAAATAAAAGAGGGGAATATAATACCTAACCCATTTTATGACATCAGTGTAACTATGATTCTGAAGCTTTGATTCTAACATTGTCCTTATCATATGTTCACAGAGATGCACTGAAAATGTAAATGAAGAGCAGAATGTGATAAATGGAAAGGAAAGGAAGAGACAGGCCCATTTTATTTAGAGATGGATACAAAAACATAGTAGCTACCCAAATCCAATACTGGATTTAAAAATACTGAATGAACTGTTCTTATCCAGTGATTAAACTGAACACCTAGTAAGAATTTAAAGAAAATATATTTAGACTGGTTTTGATCAGAGCTCTTCTGGTTTTTAAAACATCTTGCTTAATCTCTAGAAAGCTACAAAAACTTAGTATTACCTTGAAGTCAAATAGGAGAGGACTCATGGAACGTGTCTCCCCCAACAGATGCCGACGTCAGTAGCTCAAACGGTTGTGCAGAAGGAAAACGGCCTTCAGCACACCCGGAAGATGTTACTTATCGGCGATCCGAGTGTGAAAAAGACCGCGGTCTCCCTGCTGAGAAATTTGTCTCGGAATCTTTCTCTGCAGAACGAAATTGGTGAGTCAGTATGAAGTGTCCAGATGTTATGTGCATATATTGGAAATGCATTTGTAATAAAACATTGTCCTCTTCATATTCTTTTCACAATGATGAACTGAAATGTGAAGAAGGTCAAAATGTGCTAAATGGGCCTGGCTTTGTGTACCCAGACAGGGCAGGCTTTCTCTGGGGGTCTCAAATACAATTTTTCCTAGCATCCAGCCAGCATTTTGTTTTAAATACTGCAGAAGAGAAATTTTAGACCATCCTAATAACTAATAATTTCTTATTAAGAATAATTAATGATATTTTCCAGCCCTCAGCTATGCCTCCCAGCGGAGTCTTTTATCCATGTAGCTGTGTTCCTTCCATAACGTTTTCTGCATGGCCCACTGAAGCCCCACTCTTCTAAAACACACACATAAAGTGAATACTAAAGTTGGCCAATATAGGACTAGAACAAAACAGATGGACAAATAAATACCAAAAAAAGACAAAAAGAAGTCACTGTGTATAGCAGATTTAGCAATAGATGGTTTTAGAATAAATATGATGAAACATATTTGCTCCTTATTTTGAGAGTCTGGATTATTGATAAATATAACTATGTTACACTATCAAATAACATACTTTTTCATTCATTTGTGTTATACCTAGAAATATCTGGTAAATGTGAATCAAGTAAAAACTATAAAATGAGATAATGGGAAGACAGTACTAAAATTAATCATGCTCCCTAAATTAGTCATTTCTGACAACTTGAAATTCAGTTTTTCACAAAATTCTAGTCATAAACAAATTTTGGGTTGTTTTTGTTTTCTTGAATTGGGTTATTCTGGGTTCTACACGCACACTCTTAGCCCAGAGATACTGCAGTCTGTGCTTATGTTTTAAGAGTGTAATTTATAGGGACAGCCCGCTGCAGCACTAGGTTATACAGTGGTTTCTGCCCGGGCGAGCCTGGAAACTTTTCAGTGGCTCTAGAAGAAATCTTGCCATAGACACTCTCAAAATCAGGAAAGTGTTCTCCCCTTTGTCCTTTGTGGGCTTTCACGCTGCACTTCCATCAGATCTATTAATTACCCTTTGAGTTGTTTTTCTTTTCCCAAAGGAATGGTTGACTCCATCTTTAAAGCATTGCCATGGACAGTAATTCCACTCTGCAAATATGCATGTGCCTCCAGGGCAGAAATGCTGTGGGTCTCGGGTTCCGCAGTCCTCAAATATCAGGAAGGTACAGCTGCGGCCCCAATACCTGCAGTTCCGCTGCTAACCCTCCCCCCACTGAAAGGACAATAGTGAAAAGGGGTTCCAGCAAAATAAGTGCAGCCTTTCAATTCCCAGGGGCTTTATGTCAAATATATAATTTGAGTAAAAGGACTCATCTTGATTAGTATTGAAAGTATTAATGTCAAAGGATAAATTAAAATTAGTTATTTGAAATACATGCTTCATGTTTTTCATGGGCCACTTCCAGTCCAGGTCAGTCTTTCCGTGTTCTGGCCAGGAATGAAGGTCCCACATTTTGCTTAGATTTGCAGAAATAAACTTGAAATTTGTGTTTTCTTAAAAATTTGAAGACAGGCAGTTAGGACAGTGACAGGATCATTGATCTCCTGCAGAAGGTGTGGGTCTGCATCCTACTTTGCCACCCTGTCGCCTTGGCTGGTCATATGACTGCTCTAAACAGAGTGAGATTAATTGTCACTCTGTAACAGTGTTTTCCCAAGAGTCAGGTAACATAATGTCTTTGCAAGCACCAGGAAGTATTTGGATGCATCTGTAAAATATCATTTCACATTTATTCATTGTTACAGGTGTTTGCAGACATCCAACTAATGTCTTGGCTTTTTAAGGCATTGAGTTTAAGCATTAAATAAAATCTCCCTCCACAATGTGGCATTGAGCTGTAACCCCACAATAACACGAGAAGGCCTTCAGTTTCATATTTTACTATTAAAGGTCCAATTTTACTTGTCCTCCAGTGACTGTATTTATCAGCCCAGGTACATACTGTAAGGGTAGATGTGCATAGATACATGCATGGAGAAGGAGGGAGAGAGGAGAAAGCGAGAGCCAGGGCGAGAGAGCCCTCCCTGACCACACTGCAGCTCTGTCGGGATAAAGGTGGTTGTACTACCTTTCTAGGAAAACAATATGGTATAAAATATTAAAGACTGTTACTTCTCCAATTCTCACTTTTCCTCCAGACACGACCCTAAGTTCCAACCTTAGCGTTGCTCTGCAGGAGCAGACATCGTTGTTGGTTGTGAGGAGGGAGGTGGGGCACTCTCGTCAGGAAGGGCTCACAGCGAGGGCATCCTCCGTCTCAGCAGCCATTTCTGTCCCCCCACCGCCACCCCCACGCAGAGGGATTGTCTCAGACTTATTTCCGTGTTGTCGACCTAAACCCAGTAAAAGGAAAATTCCTGTTTTCAGGCCTTTAATTCTGTGGTTTAATTTACTAAAAGGAGGAAGCCTTCTGGTAATAATAACTCGTAACTACTGAGAGCCTGCTGGGTGCAGGTACTGTGAAAAGTTAACCTGTATTAACTCATTTACTTCCGCAAAACAACCCTGTGAAATGGAGACTATCATTACTCCGTTTTACAGATTAGGAAAATGCAGCACAGAGAAGTTAAGTAGCTTGCCTAGATCAGTGGCCGGCAAGTGGTGGAACAGGACTGAAACTAAAGCAGTGTGGCTTCAGAAGCTGAGCTCGGAGCTCTTAACGCTAAGCTACGACGCTTAAACAACAGTTTTAAAAAAGTGTTCAGGCCCTTGAGCAGGTGTGTCTGCCCTTCCGTCAGGTCCACGTATCACCGAACAATGCCGTATCATTCCGTTCCGCTTATTGAGAACCTTTCTGTTTTCAGTAAAGCGATCGATGCTGGAAGTCCAGAAATAAGTGTGATAATCGGCCTCAAGGAATCCAGAGGCCCCTTGGGAATCCAGACAGGCACTGAGCTGATTACATCCAGTTCCAGACGGAGAAGCGAAGTGCACGGTGCCGCATAAACTCAAATGAGAAAAAATAAAATTGAGCAGAAGCACGTGTCATACAACCGTGATGCACACAGCCCTCTCTTAACGAGCTGGGAGGAGCTGCAAAAGCACTAGGGGGCGCTCTCCGACTTTCAGGGAGCATCCAAAGTAGCTAGAGAAAAGCAAAAAATTTGAAGAGTTATTACAGAAAATCAAGTACAAATTCATATTGCCCAAAATATATACCATAGGACAAGTTATAATGAAATCATAAAATGTCAATACCTCTCTTATTACTACTAAAAAAGCCAAAGTAAAACCCTATAACTAAGAACCTACTGAATGAATTTAAAATACTTCTTTTTCAATACTTGTATTATTTGTGCAGTGAAGAAACTTTGGGCAGTGCAGATAATTTTTTAAAATATTTTCAGGTCACCATCAATACTGTGGTAGAAAAACAAATCCTATTTATATTTTAGTGAATTTCTTCTTAGGTTTCTTATGTCTGTTTTCTTTCCTAATGTTATATTATCATGTATTCTTTATATAAATACGTATACTGATTTTTCACATATAATATTAAATATTTTCTTGTTTCTATACATACTTCATAGGTATGTTTGGGGATGCCTAATAGTTTTTGAAGGTGTATTTTAGTTAATGATATTCCATTATTGGGATATTTTGACTTATATAATCTTTTATTTATATATATATTATAATAAATATCTCTGTATAAACTTTTTCCATTTTTGAAGTGCTGTATTTGTGAGGATGACTTCTCAGAAGTGGAATTACTGAATCAAAAACTGTAAAATTTTTTTAAATTCTTGGCATGGCATGTCTGTCAAATTGACATTGTCATTTCTGTCAAGAGAGTTCCCAGGTACTGAGCACAGGGTATCGTCATTTTTAAAGTCTCTTTTAAATTTGAGTATCAGAGAAGTTACAGCTTTACATATTTGTTTGTCTACAAGTTGTTTCTTTTTAAAATGTTACCCAAAATGTATCAGGATCTTGAGACTAAGAAATGATTTTGTTTAATCAGGTGTTCTTTTTCTTTCCTTCCATAGCCAAAGAAACTCTACCGGATTTGGTTTCCATAATTCCAGACACAGTCCCGAGTACCGACCTTCTCATTGAGACTACAGCCTCTGCCTGTTACACGCTGAACAATATAATCCAAAATAGCTACCAGAATGCGAGGGATCTTGTCAACACAGGGGGCCTGCCGAGGATCATGACCATCAGCGCAGGCGACGGGTGAGTCCTTCAGCACCTGCCTGTTGACATGATCCTCTTCCCCCGCCACTGCTCCCACGTGTAAATCTGCTTGTGAATGTCCAGCCATTGAGTTCCGTGGCCAGGTCATCTAACTCAGTCTTTGGTGATCAAGCAAGTGAAATACTGAATCCTCCAAGCCAAATTCATGCCCATTTTCTTCTAAAATATCCATAGACAGCTGAACTCCATGGCTTCCATGGGGAGCATATCAGCATTTTATTGAACCCAATGCATCGTTTCCCAGAGCTATGGCTATGACTTAAGAGCAGCAGAATGCAGCCAGAGTAGAGGTCCTCTGGTCAAGGAGAGCCCTTCTCCTCACATCGAGACCCCCCGTCCCCACCAAGCGGCTTAGAAAAAGCAGTGATAGCGCAGGAAACGGGAGCCACATGACAAGACAGTCTGGCTTTCTCGTTTTCCTCTATCAATCATCTCTCTTCTACCTTTCATTCCTTTTGAGAATAGGAGGTCTAATGCATATAAGTCAATCCACACCCCTGTTTCTCTGTCTTTACATTTTCCCCATTCAAAAGGCAAGGAAAAGAATGGAAAGCCTTCTGTAACCAAATTATTACTGTTTGTTAAAGTGATGGGATCCGAAGGGGGCAGGAAGATTATTCTCTTTTTCTCTTTATACGATTCTTAATTGTTTGACTTGTTAAATACAAGCTATATTTGTAAATAACCAAAAAGGAATGGACTTTACATGTAGTGGGCAAATGTGTGCTTGGCCACAGAGGGGGAAGCATAGGGATCTGTGGGATCCTGGCGTGCACACCTGTCCCCTCCCTGCAGCCCGCCCAGGGTAGGCACCTTGTGCTCTGCACCCCATTCTGGCAAACCCCACAGGGAAGAGGACCACATTCCGGGTCACATGATCGGAAGGAGACCTGGTTAGGACGTTAGCTCCCCAAGAGCGGGGAATGTCCAGAGACGTCCCCAGAGCCTGGCGGGCAGCGGTTGCTCAGTCCTTGTAGAAAGAATGAATTACTGCTCTAAAACAAAAACGACTATTCTGAGTAGTCCAAACTTCTAAGTCAATCTCCATAAAACCGTATGATTTTAACTCTGAATATTCAGAAGTAAGCACATGGGAGTAAGCCTTCACTTTTGGAAACTTCTTGTAGTTTGGCAACATGTGGGGATGTATTACTCTGTCACTTCCCTTTTGCCCTGAGTTTCCATTTTTGAGCCAGTCCTCATGTCTCCTGTTCTAAGATAAAGTCTGCTAGTTGTGGCCTGCCCTCCTTCCTTGCTAGAGTGTTCTATAGTTGACCTGTCATGTATTGGCTAGCCTGGGAACCAGCTGCCATTTACAGCATTTTATCTTTGAGTAAAATATTTCCAAGTGCCAAACAACCAACTCATAAATGAACTTTATGGATATAAAACCCTTGCAATTCAAGAAGGCTTTCCAAATAGAGACCCCTGGCTTCCATGGATTTATTAGTACTTCGGTTATTAGCAAGTGACTCCGAAGAGTCCATGAGATTCTAAAAACATCTGTAAGGTGCTGGTTTGACTTACCCTTCATGCAAGGCTGATGTTCAAGGGAGGGCCTTTTAGTTGATGAATGAAGCCAGAGTGTGCTTCTCCACACAGCTTTGCATTCTCTGTTCTTGCTTATCTATTTATAAAATCCTGTATACGAAAAATAAAATCTTTGTTTCTCTGTGGAAAGAAAAATATTCAGCTATATGCTCATCCAGATGATGGAAGAGAAAGAGATCTAAGAAAGACAGATCCTTAGAAACAGGAGGCTTAGGACAAATTTAAAAGCAGAACATCAAAATAAATAAACAAATAAACACGGTGTTAAATTCAGTGGTGGTGACCTGGATTTATACCAGGAACACATTTTCCTTTTGCTCTAAACAAAAATGAAGGACAAATGCTCCAATAAGAATTTATTTCATGAACCTGAATAAATTACTCCTACATTCATAGTCACTAAATCTAAGAGGTATATATATTTTTCAGTCATATTTTCCTGTGTTTATATTCCACAAATACACATTATGATTATGTAAATAATTTATATCCTAGAAATATACAGTATAAATATACAAATATAAGCTGTATTCTATAAATAAATGCAAGGATTTATGAAAGTCTAAGGATATATTCCTTCTAAATATCAGGAACATGCTCGGTACACTATTTATTTGTTAGCACTGTGCTAGTGGCATAAAAAAATTTTTTTAAATAATTTAAAACACACAAAAATAAGGCCTTCAAAGCCCACCGTCTAAGTCTCTCACCTTGCATGGGTGAGTGCCCTGACCTAACGCTTAGCTACTGAGCAACAGCAGTTCAAGATTTGCGTAATGTCCAAAGGCGGCGTCTCGGAGCCCCCCGCGTGCTCACTGGCCTCAGAGTATCTTTTTTTTCTTTCCAGCTATGCCTCCAGCAAAGCAAGTAAAGCTGCCTCAGTCCTCCTGTATTCTCTGTGGACGCACACGGAGCTCCACAATGCCTACAAGAAGGTAAGAGCGCAGCCAGCCAAGAGGCATGGGTTGTAGTTGGCAGCCAGGTGGTAACGGCCCATGGGTCCTGCCTCAGTGGGAAATCACCAAAACCTGCATTTTCTTGTGTGACAGCATGGTGGCCTTTCTAATTTCTGTTTGCTTATTTCGAAGGCTCAGTTCAAGAAGACAGATTTTGTCAACAGCAGGACGGCCAAAGCTTACCACTCCCTGAAAGACTGAGGCAGGCATGGAAGGCCCCCCGGAGACATCCACCCACCTCACCAGTATCCGCCACAAAAATGCCCCAAAGGAAAAACACCTATTTTTCTACTTTCCAGCCCAAAAAACTCCAAAAAATCATGCCTGGTTTCTATCCTTTTCTAGTTTCCTGGTCCCCAGAATCCAGAAAACAAATAATCAGAATATAATTTTACTAATCGTCCAGAAGACTTTGCAAGTTTGCCACCAGTAGATCCTAACAACAGACTCAATTTTATCCTCTACAAATAGTGGTCTTTCGATCAGAGCCATCAGTGCAGGGCTTCCGGGAACCGAAATGTGAATTCCTGTGCAGTGGACATGCACAGCATAAATAAGGAAAGAAGCTGTTGCAGTACTGGGGTTTTAAACATTTGATTTACAGTTATATTCCTTTTCTGGCTTCCGTGTTTGGTCACTCACAGGCATATTGCTTCACCATTGAGCCACAAGGACATTGTTCTGCAGGGTTAAAACAGAATGGAAACCACGAGAAATATTTGCAGAGCTATCCAAGGGAAAACTTAATGGCAAACATATGTTTGTTTACTTTGTGCTAATTTTTATCCTTTGAATTTTTTTTTTCTGATGTTAAATAAACTTAAGAAATTTAGACCGCAGAGCACGCATGACGACAAGAAAGAGAAAGTGACTGTAGCAAATTTAAAAATCTTTTCCACAGAGAAAGGCAACTATGGTTACAAAACTCGGTGTTCCGGCAAGGAAATACTTTACCTGCAACACCGCCATTAAATGCAAATCTCTTGTGAATGGTAGCATTCAGTGTAATGTATTTCCTGGACTCTCTCAGCCACTGCATAGGTTGATGGGAGAATGGACTCTAGTTAGCTACAGAAGGAACCAAGACGGCTCACACTGCCAGGCCAGCCCAGGGCAATGAAAAGACAGTTCATTTTAATAGAGTATATTACTGACTAGCCCAGCTTTGCCCAGCATTAAAAAAATGGAGCCACTAAATCTCATGTGATCTTCCTAAAGCCAGTTTCTGTAAGTCAAGGAAACTCGAGAGAAGAAAAATGAAGGTTTTTGAAGAAAAATGTGTCTAGGCCACCCAGAGAGAATAGGAGAAACCCTAATGTTTAAAAACTGACACCATCTATTGAAGCACAACTGTATTAGTTTTAACTGAGCTGTGTTTAATACCATTCATATAGAATTAGTTCTTCTCAACTACAATTCTATTTTGCTTAAAAAAAATTCTGCCAATGTTTGTTATAAGAAAATAGGAAGGGAAAAAAATCCTTCAGTTCCCTTGGCCAGAAAAGTATAATAATAGAAAATAAATTCTCATTTTCAATTTTAATGTGTAGTTAGGTCTTTGTTATGTTTAGAACTTGAAATTTTTTTCAATTTAAGAGCTCAGTGAAGAAGACAGGTTACTAACCTAGTTCAAAATGAAATTATTAGATACCAATTTTTAAAATACTAAAGAAAGAAATACCTCTTTTTCCAGAGTTTGGAGTATATTTATTCTTCCAGATGAATGATGTATGTTCAAGAAGTTTCTGTGTTTTTTAAGGCATTAGGAGGGCTTGGAATAATAAACACAAAATGGGACAAATATAACATCGCCTGCATTGGTATCTGTGTATATCTGACTTATTTGCGTATTATGATATATGTGGTACTATTGACATGACATTTGAGGATTTGACCTTGTAACTTTCAAGTTTACTTACTAAGGGCTTAATACTTTGTAATTGCTTATATTTCTCCTCTAATTACAGTCCTAACCTCTTTACCAAGAAACACTTCCTGTAAGAAAGATGCAAGTAAAACATGTAAAAATGGAGTGACCTGCAAATGTGTTAGTTACTGTTGAATTTTACTCAGTCGAGTGGGTCTGCGACCACAAGAAGACAGACTATGCTTGATCCCCACGCCCTGCTTGGTCCGCGCACTCTCTTTATGAAAACCTCCTACTGTACTCTCTGTGAACACCTCGGAGGGAGGCCTTGTGTGGCTGAGTATCAGTTCTGACTGCAGGTCTCCACCCAAAGCTCTCCTTCTTCTATGTGTCCCAGACTCACCCATGCCGTCAAGGGAGCTGATGGACCAAGCTGAGCCTTCACACTCACTTGTGCTGAGAGTTCCAAAGAGCTACTGACTTCCCGAGATGCTTAGCGGTTTTCTGGACTATGGGAGGCTCCTCCTTGGAATTCCCTCACTGGAAACACGTGTTTACACCTGGTGGAACTAACCAAAGGGTCATCTGACAATGCAGAGAGGGCATTAACATGTCCAGTGGGAAAATAAGCAGCATGAATAGATGAACCACTTTAAAACCAATCTAATCACCCTTTGAAGAAGCAATTTCTGAGAGGGAAAAAGGAAATGGGAAATACAGATACACCCACACACACTATAGTTACAAATGTAATTTCCTCTAAAAATGTCTAGTGAATTGACTACATCAGAATGAGGAGGACTTCAGTATATGTGTACTTTGAACAAAACTGCAGAAACCCCAAATCATGGAATATGAAGATTAGGAGGGAATCTGGAGAGCATCTGGACTATTCCTCCTTAAAAATCCCTTCTTCCACCAGAAAACAGTATGAGAGTGACAGAAAAGAAAAATTCATACAATCACCCATTCAGCTCATGACCGTGTAACTGGTCCGTCTTAGCACTAAGGGGGTGCACTGAAGTGTTTGTGGAGGGAGAGAAAACAGATCCAAAAAGAAACAAACTTTTCCAAATAAAATTCTGCTTTAGGTTTAACATTTTAGTTTTTAGTGGTACTGACCGTTTCAACTTCCATAAACTAAACGTCAACCTTTCAAGGGCTGTAAGAAAAAGAAAACTCTTTTTACAATGTATTTAGGAAAGAGAGATCAAAATGCCACCCGTTGGCAGAAGAGCTGTTAGAGACGTGAGCAGAAGGGAAGGCAGGCTGGAGGCCAGCGTCCGGGGACACAGCTAAAGAACCCACAATGTCTAGCCTGAAAGAAGGCGGCTGTGTTTCCGCTCTTCAAATTTCTGAAGGCCCGAGGTGTGGAAGATGGCAAAGGACAGACGGGGTGAAGGGGCGAAGGCTTGTGAGTCTAGCGCCAACCGAGCAACAGCAAGCACATACTGAGCACTCCCCTCAGCCCCGTCACCAAGTATATACTTCCTTTGTTTTCTTATATTTTACATGTGAAAATCACCCGATGCAGAGAGAGGTTTAGTCACATTCCAAAGCCGCATGGCCAGCCAGTGCAGAGGAGCCATTCGGACCCAGGGGGGTGCTGCTCACCGGGGCTTCCCTGGGGGCCGCAGTGACGGACTCAGATCTCCACGCCGGGGGAAATGTGGTATCCCTGGCGCTTGTCCCTTCCTGGAGAGTGCGGGGGCCATCAGACGTAATGGTTAGGGGGATGGTTCTAGAACCAGCCAGCAGGAGCTCAGCCCACCTGACAGAGCGAGTTTCTTACCGTCGCTGAGCTGGCGTGAGGTCTAAACGTTCTCATGATTATAAAGCACTTAAAACAGTGCCTGACTATGCACTTCGTGAATGCTGAGTCATTTGGAGTTCCCTAGTCTGGGGAGATTCATTGTTTTTTATATTCCCCTCCCCCCTTAATCCATGTGTTCTGAATTCCTCTTTTCAGAGATAGTTGGTTCAGTAAAGACCCCCAACCTTTCCCCCAGCCACCCAGGACACACACACACGGCCCATCCCTTAGAAGGCCAGGTAGGAAGGGGACACACACACACACACACACACACACACACACACACACACACCCCATCCCTTAGAAGGCCAGGTAGGAAGGGGACACACACACACACACACACACACACCCATCCCTTAGAAGGCCAGGTAGGAAGGGGTAAAATACAAAAATGCACAGGGCAGACAAGTGATTTGGAATGTCAGTTCCTCAGACCACAAGTCCTCTGGGGGGAGTGATGTTATGTGAAAAGAAATACCCTCTGCCTAAATAAGTTTGAGAATGGCTGAGTTATGCAAAGAGGGGAAGGATCTTCACTGCAAGATGACTGAGTCCCTCATCTGCACCAGGCACCGTGAAATCGCCAAGAAGAGACTATGCTACGTGCTTTTGTTTGAATCAATAAACACTTTTTTCTTAGATGAGCACTCAAAGGTGCTGTTGTAAACACTCTGACCAGCAGCCATCTAAGCCATAAGCAGGAGGACAGAAGGTGTCTGTGTGGTTCACAGCGCAGGCCAGTTCATCTTGCTTCAAGTCTGGACTACTGACCCACACCTGAGGTTAGTCATGATACAGTAAAATCTGAAAAAGGAGGACTTTCAATAGATGGAGGACTCGCTCCAAAACATTTTGCTTCATTCCCACCCGGAGAGCTGCTAATCTGCGGACAGGAAGATAACCCAGAGGTGATTAGCAGCCCAGAGAAGCACACGTTGAGACAGCGACAGACTTTCCATCCAGCTGATCAGACCTCTTAAATCTCACATCAAAAAGCAGGTAAATCTCCGAGAAGCCTGAGTTTTGCCTGTAAGCTACTAGCACGCAGTGCACTTGGTGAAAAATAAAAGAGTCCAAACTGTTGCAGATTTTCTTACAACCTAATAGGATGCTCTTCCCAAACAACTAATCCTTCGGGTGTTTTTGGTGTGTGTTTTAGAAAAGAGGGGCTTCCGTTTTTAATTAACAGCTTTCGACATGTCTGTATTGAGCACTCACTCCTGGAGCTCAGGACCAGCAAGCTGCCCCTTTAGGAAGAAGTGCTCGCAGATCTCAGTGGCTGACTTCACTCTGGGCGGTCACAGGTTACAGCTGACAGCACTTTCTTTCTTTTTTTGTTTAAGGTATTGATATACACTCTTATGAAGGTTTCACATGAAAAAAACAATGTGGTTACTACAGTTGCCCATATTATCAAGTCCCCGCCCATACCCCAATGCAGTCACTGTCCATCAGTGCAGCAAGATGCCACAGATCCACTATGTGCCTTCTCCTGACAGCCCTTTCTTTACCTGGGAAATGAAAGGTCACGACTGTATTGTAGGGGTTAGTAACCCCATGGGTATCTTCTGGAATAGGTCTCTGTCATAACTCAAGGAATGGCCAGAGTGAGAAGCAGAGAATTATTAAGAAGATACTTCAGTTTTAGCCAGAGGAGTTGTCAGAATTGACAACCTGTAATAAGAGTATATGAAAGTACTAATATTTATAATACTGACAATACTTCCCTCAGGAATTTGTTTCTTTAAGCCCTCGCTCTAACTGGAAACTTTTCTGGTTCCTGATTTAAAAACATAAGTAATCTATTTTTGTGGTATTGCCTAAAGAGTTTTTGATAAGAATTATGTGTGAACATATTAAGTAGCACATTCCCACTTCTTTTGGTGGCACATGCCTAAGGTGACCCAATTCCTCTTCTCAGGCTCTATTCCTACACCTTTTGTTTATCACTTAGGATGCTTTATTTGCATTTGAGAAGCAAAAAAGTTCAACTCAAACTGGCAATAAATGTCTATCATACGTAACAGGAAGACCAGGTTTCGGCTCGGATTTGGTTATTTCAGCAGCTCATTGAAATCATCAAGAACCCAGATTCCTTCAAGCTTTCTGCTCTGCTGTCCTCAGCATGTTACCTTTTGTCTCCTAGTTAATTTTTCACGTTGACAAAATGGTTGCAGCAGCTCCGAACATCCCATCTTCAGAGTCATGCCCAAAGGCCAGAAGAGTAAACATTCCTTCCTTGCATCCTTTTTTTTAATACATAAAGAAAAACTTCCCAGAAGCCTTCAACAGACACCTCTCATTTCATGCTTCCAAGAATTACATCACACACCCTTTCCTAAATTAATTCCTGGTAAGAAAAACAAAACTACTATTCCTTTCTTAAACCAATCACATTTCACCCAAGGCTGGGTCTACCTCCCCTGAGACTCATGGACGGTCAATATTTGAACACAGTCAGGGTTTTATTGAACAAGGAAAAAGGGGGCTGCAGAACAGTCAACCAACATCACCTGCCTTAAGTAGAAACATCAAAGAAAAAGAATTCAACACTTTTTAGCAAACTGATTTCATCTGGCCTATAAGACAACAGTGTTCTTTCAAACACTGTCGGTGAAAAATGAGTTTTCCTGCTACGGCTCTTGCATTGCATTTAGGGCAAAGTCCATGAAAGTTCATGGATAAAGAATGATGGGAAAGCTGGAAACTGCAGTTAAACCAATAATCATGATTTCAAAGAAAATAAAATATTTTAAAACGTGCTCAATTGAACAACAGGGGTGGGGTAGCATCATGCCAGCACTCCGCCTCCTCTCCTTCTCTCCTTGCAGTGGCATCTATCATCCTTCACCTTTAACCCTAATCAAGGAAGCCAGTTTGGACCTTCACTGACCGACTCATCTTGGAAGAAAGCTGGCCTGAGGTGACCAGATAGTCTCCCGTTTCCTCAGTGAGACACCAGTTTAGCCCCATGCAGAGAACATGGGTTTGGATTCCAACTTTACATCTCCCTGGCTGTTGACTCTACAGTTACTTTAACTTTCTGAGGGTCTGTTTGCCTCATTGGTAAAATGGAGTTGATAACTATTGCTTCATAGGATCGTTGGAACAAAATGAGATGATGTCAGCACGCTTGGCGCCCAGGCACTCAGTGATCAGTAGTGATTACTTCCTCCTTTTGTGCATGTGGCTGCTGCCCCGGGGTCCCCAGGCTTCACCTTCTGCCTCCAGTTTCATTTCTCTGTCTCTGCTTTTCACACATCCCAGGAATCATCTTGGGGCAGAAAGCCAACTACGTAGCAGTAAAACAGAAGAGATGAGAGAGAGAAGGGAATCTCAGTACTGAGTCTCCTTGCTCCCTGCAGCCCCTGCCTACATTCCTCCAAGGTTCACTCACTTTTCCTCTGCTGACTCTACAATGCACTGACCTGCTCATTTCCACACCAAATTCCATCCTCCTGCAGAATTCACATCAGGGGCACCTCCAGGGCCACAAAGTGGATACTTCATGCTGTGAGGATTGCAGCAGGAGACAATGTATCCTTGCTAACCCAGGTGGAAGTGTTGAATAAGTTCTTCTATTTAAAAAAAGCATCTGTGCTACCCAGGGTAAATAATGTGTCAGGTCAGCCAAACCATAAAGCTTAATTTCCCTTTCTGAAAAAAGTGGGTATTTGGGAAAGAGTGTTCTGATACTCTTCAAAAGTTAATGTTTTATGTTCATATGAAAGTCATGTGTGGCACTGACTGCTCATTGCCCCCGCTGTACCCTTTGGATTCACTTTCCAACACAATAGAAATACTAATCTTGGGAAGGTGATTTTCACTGGAGACAAAGGTGCTGTAATATTTTGAATATAAAACTACAAGGTGGAATTTCCAGTCTTGCTTGTTTATGTAGATGTCAGGATTCTTTGTTAAATGCAGTGAAACCTAAAAACCTAAAAGCCTAAACTCTGCCTTCTGAAGAAATATTAGCAATGCAAACAATGCCACCTCAGTTCTCACCAGGCTGCTGTATAAGGGGTCATATTTCTAGGCAACAAATTAAAAGTCAAAGGGATAGCACTCCTTGTGCATGATACCAGCACCCGTCTTTCAGTCCTGTTTGAGAATCAGTTGCTAGTGTCCAAGCTCTGTCTTAAATAGAAAACATCATCCTTTGGGGAATTGTGCCTCACAAGGCAAGCTTTGAGGGGGCCTTCTAAACTATGCAACAAAATGAGAAATTTTGAGAGAGGCAGAAAGAACCTATTTTGGCTGAAAATGGGAAAGAATATAGAAACCATCTGAAGGCTCCTGGATTTCATGTTAAAGAAGGAATACAAAATCTCACTATCGTTTCAATGCCTTCTTCTGTCTTTTTGTATAACAATATCCCTTCAGATGTGAATTCTATAAATCTACCCACCTGGAATTTCTAAGAATTTCATCTGCTCAGGAATTCATCCAGTGAAATTTTTTCTCTCTGAAAATGCTACTAAAGAACACTTACTGGGATAGTATGACTGTTGTCACCTGTAATGCCAACATAAAGAAGTCAGTGGAGCCCCCAAGCACTTATCGAGTCCTCTTGGATCATGGAGGGCCCTGCCGTTTGATCAGACCTACGCCTCTGCTACCATTGCTCCCATCCTCCTTCCTTCAGCAGATGCTCAGGGGGTATTTGCGAAGTGTCAGAGACAGTGCTCGGCACAGGGACACGATGAAGGGTGCAAGTGACCCCACTCTTGCAGAGATTACATATTATAGGGTCTGGAGCTTCACTGAGAACTGGCCGTCTCTATATAACGTTGCCTGGTAAAGAGCTTCACGTAGTTACCACTGACCCACTGTATAAAGTAGGATTTCCTTTGGTTCTAAAACTACTTTAATGGAAAGCTCTCCTTTAAATCTTTAAAATGGGCCCAGCACTGTTCTTAGCTTCTCCCTGAAGAGCCTGGCACAGTAACTGGGAAAGCAGAATGCACACACGTAGAGGTGCTCCCTGAGCTGCCAGGGACGGTTCCGGGCGGCCTGGGCATCACCCACAACAGTGCAGTGGAAGCAGATGCTTGCGGAGGCCTTAGGACAGAGCTGAGTCCACGCCGGTCCCGATCCTCAGCAGACCGTTCCCTCCAAGCTCACTCACAGTATTGCTCGCCCTCCATAGACACACACACCAGCCACAGCCCTGCACACAGACGGTTCATGGTGAGCAGAGCTTGTTTCACAGGGTTTACCCCGGCGTTGTCTTGAGGAAGGCAGCCACTTCACTTGGGTGTCCCAAGCACTGCCCCTGAGGTCACATGGTGGCTCCCAGCCGCGAACCCCTGAATGTGCAAGGCCATCCGCGTGTCATTCCTGCCAGGCGCCGCTCGTCTCTCCGTTTCGGGGTGAGGCAGGCAGGTCCTCCGGAGGTCATTGTCCATGGCCGCATAGTGAATGACTGGCAGGACCCTCGCCCTGGCCTTCCTAAGCCCTTCACCTTCGCCCTGGCCCTTTGTGTCCCGCCATTGCCACCTTCTGGGACGCCAGGGAGATCAGAGAATTCTCCGGAGGGAAAAGCACAGGGGTTAATCCAAGTCTCTTAAACATACAGAATGTCCCTTCCTCACGCGAAAACCGCCGACTTCCTTTGGGATATGAGCACAACAGCGGGGTAAAGCCCCGCCAACGGAGAACAAGGAGGAACAGCTGAACCAGCGCAAGGAAGGACCTCACGGACGCGCGTGGATGGCCCGGCGCAGAGGCTAAAACTAGGCCCCGAAGCCAACCAGACTGAGGTCCGAATTCCAGCTCTTCCCCTTCTGAGTTACAATTTCATCATCCATAAAATCGGTATTAAAATCATATGTTATGTCATAGCATTCTTGTATCTGCCCATTCTAATAACACGGCCTTGGGCTATCAGCTGTTGAGTTACATAGACCAGAAGATCTAGTTTCTTCCAATTCTAAAAATCCTGTTTGTGTTGCTTCACATGTTGCTCTATTCCTTCTCTTGGTTCCTTCCTTAGATTTACAAGAGAAAAGGATGCTAAGTACTACTGTTTATGGACTGCCTTTTAGGTTTTCCATTGATTGAAGTTTCCCTCTCCCCCTAAACTCCTGACCCTCACAGGCCCGTAGGCAAGAGCCAGTGACAGCCTTCTAACAACTCTCCCAAGAGCTAACCTGCTGTCTTCTGGGGAGGGGTTACTCCTAACACGGAAGGGGAAGCCGAAGATCCTT